GACCTGCGACCCTGCTGTCACTTAGCAGTCCCTTCCAGGTTGTCCTCTGTGGTTTCAGATCCCTTTGTGGTTAGCATCTTTGTGCTGTGCAGCCCATTCTTGGGGAGCAGGTGATCGTACTGCAGCCAAGGCCAGAATCCAGAAGATAGTTGCTGCTTTAGGCACCTGGTGGGATCTCATCTCAAGAGACCCGCCTAGGAAGGGAGACGCATGCAAGACATTATATTTTGGGTGCACTCTCACGCTGGAGCATCGGCAGCTGGGGGTGGGGTCCTGACAGGAGCCCAATGGAAGTTCCTAAGTACCCAGTACCTGTTGTCCACCACCTCCAGTGTGAGGCTAACGGTCACTTTAGACCCCTGTCCTGTGCCCTCCTTCCTAGGTGAGCGGGGCACAACCTTGTCTGGTGGTCAGAAGCAGCGCCTGGCCATTGCACGGGCTCTCATCAAGCGGCCCACAGTGTTGATCCTGGACGAGGCCACCAGTGCGCTAGACGCAGAGTCTGAGCGGGTTGTGCAGGAGGCTCTGGACCGGGCCAGTGCTGGACGCACTGTGTTGGTCATTGCCCACCGGCTCAGTACTGTTCGTGCAGCCCACTCCATCATCGTCATGGCCAATGGCCAAGTCTGTGAGGTCAGTCGGGCTAGGAGTGGGCAGCGGCTCGGGTGGCACAGCTAAGCTCTATGAGCACCTGGCCAGCTTCCAGGCGCTTGAGGTCATGCGCTGGGAACAAAACCCTGACAGGCCAAGGTCTTCCCATCCTTGGATAAACCCAGGCGGCTACCCTCTGGGAAAGCTGAACTACAGGCTCCCAGGACCAGAGGATGTGTTTGTTGTTGGTAAAGAAACTGAGGCACAGCTGGCACCCAGAGGCTAAGATGCAGAGGCTGTCTCACAGACTTGTGGGAGCAGTCAGGGCCAGAATCAGAGCACACACGTGTATCCCACAGCCGCAGCCAAAGGAGACACAAAAGTGATGGGACCTCTCACTGTCAGCTGAACAGAAGGTGGCATTGACTGGTGAAGCTGTCTGTGCCCAGGGTGGCAGAGTTGTCAGGTGTCCCTAGAAGGACCATGAGCTTAAGTAGCTATGAGCCTCACAGGTGGTGGAGGTCAGCCCTGCTGGGACTCTTGAGTTTAGCTCTGTTGAAATGACCCTCCTTCTGTTTCCAGGCTGGGACCCACGAAGAACTCCTTAAAAAAGGCGGGCTCTATGCAGAGCTTATCCGGAGACAGGCACTGGATGCCTCGCTGACCTCACCCCGACGTGCAGAGAAGCCAGAAGACTCCGGAAACTGCCAGTGGAAAGCCTGAGAGACTCCCTGGGGTCAGGTCACTGCAAGGCATCAGTCTGAGGCTGGGGTTCAGCTGGGGACAGAGCCCTTGAAGGGCCAGTGTGCTGGAGTGTGGGCTACACCACTGCTCCCTTAAAGGAGCAGGGCCCAGCAACTGGGGTGGGATGTGGCTCTCCTCCCACCTGCTCCTACCGTCCTGACTCAGCTCTGTGGTCATGGAGGTACACAGTCAGGCCAAGTCCCTGAACACCTCTGTTTGACCCTCTCAGGCTGGCCCAGTTCTTCCCCCAGCACTCAGTTGTTTAGGCCCTCACTCCAAGGGACTGGCCAGGCCTGATAGAATAGGATGTAATCCCAGTACTGGAGAGAGAGAAATGGGAGGATCAAGAGTTCAGGGCCATCCTGGGCTACATGGTGAGACTCTATCTCAAAAAATAAAAAAGAACCTAAATAAATAAAATTTTAAAAGAGGCTGAGGCTGTAGCTTAGTAGCAGAATGCTTGCCTGACACGTGAGGGTCCTAGATATAATCCTTCATATTGCAAATAAGAAATAAAACCCAGGGTTGGAGTGTAACCCAGGACCTGAGACGAGGCTCTGCCTCACAATAAGTAGGACCACACAGTCCCATCTGTATTCTTGCATCCGCAGTACATCTCTCAGTCCATCCTCCACACATCCCTGGGTTCTGGCAGAATAAAGTGGTAGTGGCCGTTGTACCAGAAGCACCTAGCCTACTAGGCTGTGCCGTTTGCCCCAGTCAGACCTGGTGAGACACTGAAGAGGCTGCTGTGCCATGTGTACACATGGACACAGTGCCAGCAAGTACAAAACCAGCATGGTACATACCAGTAATCCCCCAAGATGGGAGCTAGCGGCTGGAGATGTCCTTGGCTACACAGAGGCTGAGGCTAGTCTGGTCTTTGTGAGAGTCTGCCCCAATGGTGGAAAGCACAGTTAATACAAAATACAATATGAGGCTGATATGAGAACCATAAGGATCATGGAAGTGGTGGGATGGTGGCCTTGCCTTGAAAAGGGTGGGGGGGAGCAGGCAGCCTGTGGTCCCAAAGCTGGGGCCTCCGTTGGCTTCTCAGGTGTTGAGGAAAGCATATGAAAGACCCTATAGACTGCACTGAGGCTCCCAGAGATCAGCACTTTGTTGACGCTGCTGCAGATGCCTTGATGCACTTCACTTATGCCCAGAGGGTGATGGCTCCTAGCCTTGATACTGTAGCTCACTTGCCGCTGAGAATCCATCCCCGGCCAGCCACATCCAGGTTGTAGGACTCTGTGCAGACCAGAGAATGGATCAGGGGAGAGGGGCTGTAACTGCATGGCCAGACAAGCATTTTGTACTTTTCATGTGGCAAAGGACGACATTGTCTTTCAGGAGTGATGGGTGCAGAGGGGAGAAACAGCTGCTGCTGGGGGCCAGTGTAGGACCACATACACTGCTGTGGGGACAAGGAACCCAAAAACTCTAGTCCATAGTGCCCTGGCTTAGAGTCCATAGTGACAGCCTGGAGAGCAGAGTTCTGGGGTGGCTTCCGTTGCTTGGCCACTGCACCCCACCTCCACCCCCAACAAGTGAAGCTTAGAGCAAGGCCCCTGCTTTCCATAGACATGTCCCTCTGCCTGGCCCTCCCCTTTATCCACTTGGGGCATGAAGTCTTCCTCCCCGAGCATCCAGCCCATTGGCTCCACATACAGTCATCAGGCACACACAGATTCTCAGTCCCCTGACAGCCCCAGGATGACTGCCACCAGGGAAGGGACCATATGGCCAGTGGCTGGTGACCCCAGCCCTGTGGGTATGTTCACCCTGTTACCCTGACCTGGGTTTCCCAGCCCCTTAGTAGAGAGCAGCTTGACTACACTTGCTCTTCAAAGCTTCTTCCAAAAGTTAAGTGGCACATGTTGGGATCACGCCCTTAAAAACCACAGTATAATAGCCCCAGAAAGTGGTCACATCTGTGCCACAAGCCCTTTTAGTCACCTATCCTTACTTGCCTAGCCTGTGCCACTGAGCCTGGGATCATTTCTGAGACTAAGCCCTGAGTGTCTGCTATGTCCGTACAGCCAGAGCCAGCACAGTATGACTTGACTGGTTGGTGGAATTATGTCCCCACCACTCCTGACCAGAAGCCGCCAGGATGAACCTGGCAGTCTCCAGTGCTTTTCAAAGACATGGAGCCAGTGATACTATTGCTCAACAAGTGGAAAACCTAAGGACCCACTTACAAGTCCCCTGAGACTTGTGGATGAGCAACTCCCAAAAGCTATCCTCTGACCTCCATACGTGTTGTGACACATACCCAATAAACAAATAAATAATAAAACAGAAAAAAAGTATGTAAAAAACGATTTGATTATTCTTGAGCATACAAGATTTTGCCCAATTCCTAAATACAAAAGGGTAGATGAGACTTTACCCAATACAGAACATGACAGTGACAGGAACATGACAGTGACAGGAACCAGGCCTTGCAGTCACCTGTGCAGATGTCCTTGAGCTACTGGGCTCTCTTGTCTGGGTCCCTTGTACTCCTCCAAGCCAGCAAGCACTGGAAACACACAAATCCCTCCCCCAAAGCTCTCTCATCCTCCTCTCTGTATTCCTGGAAGTAGCTCCTGGACTCAATCACATGCTGCCTTTGTCCCATGGAGGACAGAGTGCAAGGAGATGACTCTGGCCTGGAGTCCCCTCCAGGCATATTCTCTGATCAAGACTAATAGGAATGCAAAAAGGCATTACTGCTATGGGGTGGGAGTGGGGTATCTGATGACATCTATCAAATTAGTAAGGAAGTGCCCTCCACCCAGAAACTCTGTTTCAGGGAGTTTCTCTATGACATCAATAGCAAAGTTGGTATTGAAAAGCTGGAAACTCCAGTGGTTATCAGGGAAGACAGCACCTCCACATGGACTAGGACGAGTAATGAGGGTGCTTTCCAGGTGCTGGACTCATGATCCCTAGAATATGTTCACTGAGAGAGGAAGATGTAAAGTAACAGCGTACCCCAGATACCTCTGGGGCAGCAGGAGAATCCATGATGATTGTGAAGAATAGCCTCACCAACAGGAGGGCCTGAGAATGAGGTGGGGTCTGGGTGTCTAGGCAGAGAAGGATACTCAGAAGACGGAAAGCCACGGGATATGGAACCTGAAGAGGGCCCTGGTCATGTGGTATCGAGAGGATGCTAGGGGCATAAGAAGAGAAGATTTGCCTGTGCCAAACTTCCCACCACTCTCTAACTTGGTCAGAAGCCAAGTGCACTCTGCAAAAGAACAAATGATGTCAGGTGGGTTCTTGGAAGGGCAGGAGAGGCAAAAGGAGAGAGGGGATAGACTAAGAATCAGCTGCTGACCCTCAGGTCTACATTCAGGGGCTGTGACCAGGAGCCTAAAAGGCCCCGAAGGCTTCCTAAACCCCAATGTATATCTGGGTTTCCTTCAAGCCCTACCATGGACCGCTGTGGTTTCCTCCTGGCGCCTCTGATCTCTGACAGCAACGACTCCCCCCATGCTTCACTAATGGCTCAGCCTGGGGCCCCAGGGACCTTCCCTGCCCCCCCAGACTGCTCTGCTGGCCCCCCAACCCCCCGTCATGCTGAAACCTAATCCTCTGCAGCAGCTTTAGCTCAGTCCTGCTCTGCAGCCCCTGCCTGCCACTACCTCCTGTGCCCTACTTGGTCTTTACTGCAGAGACCCAGCCACACGGAGCCAACACGCACGTTCTGGGGAAGTCAGAGCCAGACCGAAGTTCAACTCATCCAGTCCTATCAGGCGAGTACTTTCACCTCTGTCTTGACTCCTCCCTTCTCTACCTTCTCCTTTTCTCTCCTCCCTATTCCTTGCCGAGCAACTTGAGTCCCATCTCAATCCCCACCACTACCCTGCTAGCCCTACAAAACAGCTTCTGCACTCCTTAGAAGCCCTGTCCCCAATCAACGCCTCCCTGCTCCCTGCTCCAGCCATGAAACCTCCCTCAGGACTGGAGGAGACCCAGCGGCGACAGGCCTCAGACATCCGGGTGTTCGCCAGCAGCTGCACGATGCACGGTCTGGGTCACATCTTTGGCCCTGGAGGACTGACCCTGCGCCGTGGGCTGTGGGCCACAGCTGTGCTCCTGTCGCTGGCGGCCTTCCTCTACCAGGTGGCTGAGCGGGTTCGCTACTATGGGGAGTTCCACCATAAGACCACCCTGGATGAGCGTGAGAGCCACCAGCTTACCTTCCCAGCTGTCACTCTGTGTAATATCAATCCACTGCGCCGCTCACGCCTCACACCCAATGACTTGCACTGGGCTGGAACAGCGCTGCTGGGCCTGGACCCTGCTGAACATGCTGCCTACCTTCGTGCCCTGGGCCAACCCCCTGCACCACCTGGCTTCATGCCCAGTCCGACTTTTGACATGGCACAACTCTACGCCAGAGCTGGCCACTCCCTTGAGGACATGTTGCTGGATTGCCGATACCGTGGCCAGCCCTGTGGGCCTGAGAACTTCACAGTGGTGAGCCAGTTGCCCTAAGACTCCTATTTAGTGATTACAATCTTCAGCCTTGTCAGTAAGGAAACCTTAACACCCCTGCCTGGCTATCCCTTCCTTCCTGCTGGCCATAGGCCCTCCTTCCAAGACATTCTGTCTAGTACAGGAAGCTGCCTTTGGAGGCTATCTCTCGCCATCTCAGTTAGACATCTGTGCACCTGGCTATGCCTCTCAGCGAGGACACCAACCCAAGCAAGCTGCAGGGCCGAGGGACAATCGGTAGAGGTGCTGCTACCCTTGTTCCTAGGGTAGACTGCAGTACCTTGAGACTATCTTGTGGCAGGAGACCCCTGTTTGCCAGGAGAGGACTTACGTTCCTGTCTCCTCTGAATGTTGCCACCCCAAACGAGGGCAAGAATACATCCAGTTATCCCTGTAGAGGTACTACTGTCAGGGCTTTGATAAGAGGCAGAGGGGTTGCACCGAGGCAGGAGGCTTCCCCACTCTACATACCTACATGTGAGGCTAAGGACACTGAGATGTTGGCTTTCGAGTTCCTTCAAGGAAGGTGGGAGAGGTGGTTTCTTTGCATAAGATCCAGCCTCAAAAAGTCCAAAACATAAAATAAGCATGGTAGTGCACATACTTAATCCGAGAACCTGGAAAACAGAGGCAGGAGGATCCCTGGGAGTTTGAGGCCAGCCTCATCTATGCAACATAACAAATTCTAGGGCTACATAGAGAGACTCTGTCTCAAAAAAAATCTTTTAAGAAAATAAGGACAGGGTGGAAAATCAGCTAAATCTAGACTTCATCACCCAGACTTCCCTAGGTACTTAGGTAACACATCCAGGGGGAAAAAAAAACCCATCCTGCCCAAGATCTACTGAACTTGGACACCTGCCTCCAGAACTGGAAGGATTTGTCACTGCTGTGGTGGTGCATTCCTGTAATCCCAGCACTTGGTATTTGGAACCAGGAGAATCAGGAATTTGAGGGCAGCTCTGCTCCATCAAAAGCACCAGACAAGTCCAGGCTACATAAGAACTTATCTCAATCCTTGCCCCTCCCTCCAAAAACCCAAATGACAAAACAAAAGAGGCTCAAGGGGTGGTGTGGTCCCATTCCCCAGGGCTTGTTTGAGAGAGGGACTCTCCCTTTCTGCCCCCAGATCTTCACTCGAATGGGGCAGTGCTACACCTTCAACTCTGGTGCCCACGGGGCAGAACTACTCACCACTCCAAAGGGTGGTGCTGGCAACGGATTGGAGATTATGCTGGATGTACAGCAAGAGGAGTATCTGCCCATCTGGAAGGACATGGGTGAGGGGCACAAGGTCATTTGCCTGTGAGGAGGGATAAGGGTGGAGGCATGCCTGAGGCTGGGAAATCATAAAGACCATGGGAGGGAGAGGAGGTAGGTGTGTAAGGAGAAGTCCCAAAGCATGTTGTTTTGTGAGAAGAGGCAGGGCTGGCTCTTTCAAATCTTGAGGAGAGGGACTGCTAAGGGAGTCTCTCCTGGGAATGGAGTGTCTGGGGCCTCAAAGGCCCCTCCCTGCAGAAGAGACTCCGTTTGAGGTGGGGATCCGAGTGCAGATCCACAGCCAGGAGGAGCCCCCTGCCATTGACCAGCTGGGCTTCGGGGCAGCCCCAGGTCACCAGACTTTTGTGTCCTGCCAGCAGCAGCAAGTATGTTGGTTCAACTGCCTGTGCCTCCCACCCTCCCCAAGCTCCTACCCTCCCTAGAAGATCCTCAGACCCCAAGTCACAGTGCCTCAACCTGACTCTGGGGGCCTCACCTCCACAGCCTCTAATTGCCACACAGCCTTCATAACTTTGTACCTCCAACAGCTGAGTTTCCTGCCACCACCCTGGGGTGACTGCAATACTGCATCTGTGGATCCCGACTTTGATCCAGAGCCCTCTGATCCCCTGGGTTCCCTTAGCCCCAGCCCCAGCCCTCCTTATAGTTTAATAGGGTGCCGCCTGGCCTGTGAGTCCCGCTATGTGGCTCGGAAGTGTGGATGTCGAATGATGCATATGCCTGGTAAGGGACTGGGTTCTGTTGTGAGTAGGGAATGGGGATATCCTAGGGGGCGCTCTCAAGCTCCCGGATCGGTCTCTTCCTATCCTAGGAAACTCCCCAGTGTGCAGCCCCCAGCAGTACAAGGACTGTGCCAGCCCGGCTCTAGGTAAGGCACATCTCTTCAGTCTCCCTGTCCCCATCCACTCAGTCGTTGATCACAACCCTCTGTCCAAGTGCTCCTGATCCTTGCTTTGTGGCCTGCAGACGCTATGCTTCGAAAGGACACGTGTGTCTGTCCCAACCCTTGCGCTACTACACGGTATGCCAAGGAGCTCTCCATGGTACGGATTCCCAGCCGCGCTTCAGCTCGCTATCTGGCCCGGAAATACAACCGTAGCGAGACTTACATCACGTGAGCAAGGGACACAGTAGCAAGGCTGGAAGCACTGAACCCGAGTCACGGGGGCTCCTAGAATGGAACTGGACCGAAACTCTTTTGCACACAGCCCAGGCTGGATTCATCTCTACATAACGGGTTCTGGGACTGGGCAAACTGCTTAAACTTTCTGACTTGGGGGATGGGAACAACCCAAGGTTCTTGAAAGGGGCCAGAGTGCCCATACCTAATTCCAGCCGGCACAAGGTGGTGTCCAGCAAACAGTTCGCACTTCTTTTCCTTCAGGGAGAATGTACTGGTTTTGGATATTTTCTTTGAGGCCCTCAACTATGAGGCAGTGGAACAAAAGGCGGCCTATGAAGTGTCAGAGCTGCTGGGTGTGTATGGAGTGCCTGGGGTCTGCAGAGGTACCAACAGGGTAGGTGATCACGAACTGACAGCACTCTGCCTCCACAGGAGACATTGGGGGACAGATGGGACTGTTTATTGGAGCCAGCCTGCTTACCATCCTCGAGATCCTCGACTACCTCTGTGAGGTGGGATAGAACCCCAGACATCACGGGGAAGAATTAGGTCACCAGTGTCTAAGAAGATGGATGTTGCCTTACTCCTGCCACTTGTCCCCAGGTTTTTCAAGACAGAGTCCTGGGGTACTTTTGGAACAGAAGGAACTCTCAAAGGCGCTCTAGCAACACTCTGGTATCACCCCCTTTCACCTCCCCCACTCCTAACATTGTAAGCCTCACCCCAAACCTTAAGCATGTGGTCCAGGAGCTGTAGGTGCAGCAATTTTAACTGACTTTCCCTCTTCCCACAGCTCCAGGAAGAGCTCAATGGCCATCGAGCGCATGTTCCCCATCTCACCCTAGGCCCCAGGTAATATGAAATATTCTCCATTAGGGGGACAGGACAGGTTGAAAGGAGGAAGTTCAGGCCCAGGACAGACTAGAAGGAGGGGTCCTGCCCCAGTGCTGTGGCTTGTCCCACCAGGCCTCCTACTGCTCCCTGTGCTGTCACCAAGACACTCTCTGCCTCCCACCGTACCTGTTACCTCGTCACAAGGCTCTAGACCTGCTTGGTTGCACCATGACATCTTGGACATGTCCAGCTTGTACATCTTTGCTGTCTTCACCCTAATAAAGCTCTAGTACATGTGTCTCGGGTGTCTGCCTTACAGCAGAGTCAATGACAGTCCCCAGCCTCATCCATTTTCCCACTGGGGCCAGGGCCCCAGTTATACTTAACAACTCTCTTGAGGTGGGAGTGGGAGTAATTTGAAGACGAGATCAGTCAGGCGCAGTGTTAATGAACTTCTCAAACCCATTTCCTTTTAACTTTGTTTTTCTTAAGTAATGGGGACTATACCTTGAGTCTGGAGGACTCCCGCTACACTGTGTGAGTATTTCCCCATGGAAGTGAGACCCCCATCACTTCTGTTCTGAGGCAGGGTCTCATATACTTCTGGCTGGGGGTGTACTTTGCAGCCAAGAATGATGTTGAACTCCTAACCTCCCCAATGTTGAGATTATAGGCATATACCACCATGGTTGGCTTCCCAGCCCTTTTTATATCTTGTTTATTTAGAAACAGAGTCTCACTGGGTTGTCCAGATTACCTTGAACTCACTCTGAAGCCCACATTGGCCTTGTAGTTCTTCTGCCTCAGGCTCCTTGGTAGTTTGGAATACAGGCCTGTACTCCTACCAATGTCTAAGAAGGTAGTCTCTCCATGCCCAGAGCTTAGGTGATGGCCCACAGTGGGCATGGTCATGTAGGTATTCACTGCACCAACAGTGGAGAGCTGGAACGAGGTTCTAACTAGCTCAGCGAGATGGTGGAAGTGGTAGGGTTACACAAGGAACTAGTCCATGTGCAAGAACACAGATTGGTGGCCTGCCTTCAAAGGTTCTTTCCTTTTCAACCTCTCCACAGGAGCTGACAGCCTGCTGAGACAGTGGGCCTGAGAGACACCCCCCTTCCCCTTCCTGTCAAGGGGGAACCCCTGGAACTCTGCCTCAGCTCATTTCCTACTCTCACTGTACCCTAAGCTCTGGAAAAGTGGCAAACGGGAACTGGGAAGGGCTGTACTTATGGAAGAGACCCACACAGCTCTGGGTCTCTCCTGCCCCAGCTGACAACTCCAAGTATAAGAAAACAGATGTGGAAGGTTCTATACAGGATGCAGAGACAAGAGAGGCCTGGCCCATTCTCCCATTCTGGCAAAGGCTCAGCTCTGCCCTCAGGCCAGCGGCATCCCACCTCACAACTGTATCTGGCTCTTCTAGGCAGAGAGGAAAAGTGTGCAGGAGTATATAAGCTGAGTGTGGAGAGAGGACTGCCATGACACAATCAAAAGAACAGGGACCATAGCCTCCTGTCTCTGATCTCAGGATATGTAAAGAGACAGAGCAGACATGAGCAGCTCGTTGCACAAGCTGTGGGCCAAATCACAGAGCAAGGATCCCCAGTTACCCTTCAGAGCCACCCCACCATCATATCATCAGACTGTGGGAAAGGAGCCAATTTATGAAATTAAATAAAGTCCATGGAGGGAGTGAAAACCGAGGGCCAGGGTAACTCTACCCCGGCTGGGCCCAGCACAGCTGGTGCTCAGGATCCCACTCTCCCACCCTCCTGGGAGGGAGGCTTAAATAGGCCAGGCCCCAGCCTGGCCACCAGGGGTCAGAGAGCCTACGGGGGACAGAAGTCAGAGAAGTAGGGGTGCTGCAAGGCTTCCTCTGCTGAGATGCGCTGCACAGGGTTACACTTCAATAGGTTCTGCAGGTGGGAAGAAAGGCAGAGGCGGCTCAGACTAGGACAGCCCACCAGCTTTTTGACCCTTGCTTTTTGACAGCTTGCTGGGCAAGCATACAATCCCCAGCTTCTAATCCTGGACAGGCAAATGCCCCCATTTTTACCCCCAGGCACCTACCTGCAACAGGTCTCTCCCTGTGGCATTGAGCTTGGGTACGACGTTCACCAAGGATGTCGTAGCTGGGTACATTGGGTAGGGCTGCAGAGGAGGGCCAGGCAGAGTCAGGCCAGAAGCATGGATCACAGAGTTGGAAAATAAAAGACCTCCCATAGCCAGGCACACCTTATAGTCTGGCAGCTTGGTCATGGCAGGCCATTGTTCCTCAGTCGGTGTCCCTAGCAGTGTGTCCATGTGGTCAAGGGTCACTTGTGGGAAGGGTTCAGGGACCAGTGGGGGAATTCCTCACTCTACCTGCCTTTCTCTTATACCACCATGCTCTATCCCCGAGCCCAGCCTGAAGGGGAACCCTATTTTTATGGTATTTACTATGGTATAGGAAAATCTAAACCCTGATGCTTGTGGTCCAAACAGACAAGTCATTTTTCTCTAAGAACCCTCTTCCTTCCTCCTCTAAGGCTTACTGAAACAACTTCTAATGGCTCTATCAGGAGTGCCATCCTTACCAACTGGCCACATTTCTCAACAGTGACTCCATCCATGCAAGGACAATGTGAAGGGCAGGCAACGGCTAACTCTCACCCCTGTTCTAGGGTCTATGCCCACCTCCTTTCTACAAAGAGGTGAAGGAGCATAGGCTAAGGGCACTGGGAGGATATCGAAAGATCCTCTTCAGCTGGTCATCCACATCATTGCCGGGGAAGAGAGGTCGCCCTGCATTAGCCAGCTCTGCAGAAAAAAACAGGGATAAAACAGTACATGAAGGACCCATCATTCTGAGGTGCCCCTGCGCCTTCCAGCCCCAACCCCAAGAGCTCCCTCTCCCTTCTTTCACAAGATCCTCTAGACCCTATTTGTTACCCCAACTGGGAAAGAGAGTACCTCTGCAGGACCCCAATGTGTCACCTGCAAAGATGCAGCCGGCTGACCACATGTCGATGGACGTGGAGTACAGCTTGGCCCCAAAGAGGACATCCGGTGGGCGGTACCACAGCGTGACCACCTGGAGAAGACCCCACCCACAGGGACCCCCCCTCCCACTTAGAGAGCTGGAAGGAGGTCCAGGAGGAGGCTCAGAGAGCAGAGGAAACAATGTGGTGTAGAGAAGCCACTGGGGAACTCCCTCCCTTCAACCTCATATACCACTTCCCAGGCTCACCTCAGCAGAGTAGCAGCGGACTGGGATACCAAACGCTCGGGCCAGGCCAAAATCAGCCAATTTCAACTCCCCATTCTGAGGGGAGATAACACAAAGGGAACATGGAGAGGGACTTTTAAACGGTTCAGGTAGGCTCCAGCTTCCTTCTCTCCATCCTGCTCCCTCAGTGCTCCCCATCCCTGGATCCAGTTTCTTAATTCTCGATCCCTGTTCCCAGAGCAATACCCTGTTTATGAGCAGGTTCTGGGGCTTCAGGTCCCTATGCAGCACGTTGCGGCTGTGACAGAATCCCAGGCCTTTCAGCAGCTGGAAGAGGAATGACTGGGGAGAGGTAAAGAAGAGAAAGTCAGACCCGCTGTAGCCTATAGCCCATGTGACTTGCTCAAGTGGAGAAGCCCACTTTGTGTGTGTGTGCGTGTCTGTGTGTGTACATAAGCATAAAGAAAGGGTAGGATCCCCTGGAACTGGAGTTACAGGCAATTGTGAGTCATCCAATGTGAATTCTGGGAACAGAGTCCTCTGCAACAGCAGCACCAAATGTTCTGCAAAAGCAGTTATTGTTTTGCTTTGGTTTTTTTGAGACAGAGTTTCTCTGTGTAGACCTGGCTGTCCTGGAACTCACTCTGTAGACCAGGCTGTCCTTGACCTCAGAGATGCACCTGCCACTCGCTGCCTCCTGAGTGCTGGGGTTAAAGACATGCAGTACCACGCCCAGCTTGGCAAATGTTCTTAACAACTGAGTTATCTTTTCAGCCTCCCATCTAGTTACTTTGAGAACCTGCTTTGCAGGCACTGGTGGGGAGGGAGGGGCTGGGGGGAGGTCAACAGTAACCAAGCTGCCCTTGTTTCTCACAGCTTTCTGGTGGACCTTCCTATATTCCCAGTCCAAGCTGGTCTCCCCTACGTAGCTGCAATTGGGTACACACACCATAAGTATCAGCACAAATACAAAGCTATAGTATTACTCAGGACCCACTTCTCCTGGAACTTGGACCAAGGCACTTGGTCTTGGGCCTAAAATAGTGACTGGTACACAGCAAAACCTTCAGCAAATAATATTTATTTGGTTGAGCTCTCTCTCTCTAAGATTTATTTTTAAATTATGTATGTATGTATGTATGTATGTATGCATGCACGCACGCACGTTTGTGTCTAGGGGAAAAAGGTGAGCCCATGAGTGCAGGTGCCCTTGGAGGCCAAAAGTAGGTACTGGAGTTACGGGTGGTTGTGAGCTACCTTTGATGGGTGCTGGGAACTGAACTCACATACATCATCGGCAAGAATAATATGTGTTAACTGCTGAACCATCTGTCCAATCCCTTTTGTTTTGATTTTGCTTTGATGTTTGAGAAGAGGTCCTGCTTTGTATCTCAGGCTGGTCGTAAACTTGAGATTGCCCTGCTTCAGCCTTCCAAGTGCTAAAGTTAGAAGTACGCCTGGTATTTGTTGAATCCAGGTGATAGTCTCTGTTGTACCTCACCTCTGGAGCACAAATGACCTCACAGAAATCAGATACTGTCTGTGCAAGTCACAGGCAACCACATAAAAACATTCACCAAGCCGGGCGGTGGTGGCGCACGCCTTTAATCCCAGCACTTGGGAGGCAGAGGCAGGCGGATTTCTGAGTTCGAGGCCAGCCTGGTCTACAGAGTGAGTTCTAGGACAGCCAGGGCTGCACAGAGAAACCCTGTCTCAAAAAAAAAAAAAAAAAACAACAACAACAACAACAACAAACATTCACCAAGACAAGTAGTCCTTGGTGGGCAGAAGCAGGGTCCCCCTGGCACTCCAGGCCCCCAACCTGGCTGGCAGTCCAAGAGTGCCAATACTTTATATGGGCACACCTAGGAGCCACAAATCCCTAGATATCCTTCCCCTCACCTTTACAATCTCAGGGTCCAGATCACCATTGCAGCTGTCAAAATATTTCTTTAGATCCTAAATCGAGGTGGCAGTGAGAAAAAGAGGACAGAGGTCAACCTTAGTCTGGACTCCTATATCCTCCATGATTAGTATCCCCCCAAACCCCTTTCACCTGATCACAGAACTCAAAAACCAATGTCAGC